AAGTCAAAATGCAGGAAAGTTGAATGAAAGGAGTTGAGGAAAGAGTTGTGTTTTATGCATGGAATGTCTATTGACATGCCATTTGACTGCTTGCTTACTGTGTAGGTCCAACCTCCAACAACTGTTGATCGATAACGACTACGTAAGCTGTTGAATTCCACAGTATCATAATTTGGACCCGTTGTTCCGTCGAGCAATTATGTTGAAGTGACTTGGTGCCGCAACGTGTTCATCAGTGCTTGACGTGCGTGGTTTACGCTCTGCCTTAGCACAACAGATAGTGTCTGTTGATGTGGAGAGGTTCAAAAATGTGTCTGTTGAGGTTGGAACTTCTGTCCACTTGTTCAAAGTGCAGGTACACTTTTTACGTGTCCGGCAATGCATTTGATTTGAAGCATTCCTACCTCACCATCTGGTTGGTTTCACGTCTCTCGAAGTTGTCCGACTTCGCAGTTTCCATTGGATTAGCGAGGCATTCCGCAATGCCGGAGAAGGAGGAGGAGGAGGAGGCTGGGTCGGCGTAGTCGTTGTTGAACTCGGCATTCACGGAGTGTGTTTGGTGGCTTTAGATGTGATGCCGCCTGACGAGTTCTGTGCGCGGTGCGACAACTCGGCGTACACGAATGCGGCGGCGGCCGCTGCTCTCGCCGGTCCAGCGAGGATGTCGCGTCTCTTTCGACGCGACGTCACGGTTTCGCAGAAGGCGTGGGAGGATCTGTCGAGCCAGATTTGGATGCCGTTTGATGCCACCGAGAAGGTCATGCTGGAGTACGAGGGATACGATAGCGGTAGGTGGTGGTTGGTCGGTGTTGTCGTGTCTGTTAACTGCTACTGTAAATATACATTCGTTTTTTTGTTTTTCCCTAATAACAAACATCAGGACGTACAATCAAGCAGGCTGACACCATCCTACTGAGCTACCCCCTCATGTATACTCAGTCGAAAGAGGACAAAACACGCATGATCGAGAAGTATGCCGCGGTAAGTGCCTTCAACAACAACTGTACATTCACCAAAATACCAGTTTGTGCATCAGATAACGAGTTTTCGTTCATAAAAATCTCGCGGTGATGCCTGAATTTCCACGTGAGGAGTCGGTATTTCAATGCTCATCTTTTCGTTGCAATTTCAGGTTACCTCACTGAACGGTCCTGCAATGACGTGGGCGATGTTCTGCATTTGCGCCATGGAAGTCGACGTGAGTTGACGCATTATCCACGTACTAGCTCAGTTTAAAGCAATAACTAACAATTTTCGTCATTTATCCCTTCCGAACAGTTACTAGATCGAGCTATGGAATACTTCAGTCGCTGCCTTTTGAATTGCCAGATGCCGTTTTATGTAAGTAATGATGGGTTGATTGACATGTTGATGAGACCAATTCAGTGTCACTAAAAACAGCACAGCGTCAGTTTGGATTGGTGGTATGATCTGACTGCTAGGATA